ACGACCTTACCCATAGCAATCATACAACAGGAAAAAAGTGTTCTGTTGATACCAGAAAAAGAGAAAATAAAAATCAACGCGCTACTATGCTGTGCGTGTGAGAGAGAGCCTTGTTGTTACATCGTGTACATTGCCCTCGACGCCATGAACGGGTTCGAATGCCGTCAGTCGATGACAGGGGTGCGTTACACCCGGCCGCCAACATCCATTAACGACCTTGAGCAATCGGTGGGCAGAGGTCACCGACTCCTCCGCCGTCAGTCATTATCAGTAGACCATTTTTTTTCTTTTTACCCCACGCGAATGCACTGACCATAATGACCGATTAATGGTCGATCACACTAATTACTATTGTTATTTAATCACTCATTGTCTAAGTACCATCGGCGTTGTTTACATAAATAAAAATATAAATACCCAATTGTATCTCACCATAGAGATTGTTATGTAAACACAAACGTGCATTCGCGTGCAATAGAAAAATCAAACGAACGTAATTTAGGGGCTCGTTTCCTATAGCGCTAACAGTGTGACAATAACGTTATTGTATAGTAACACGAAAAAAAAAAAAAAAAGAGATGCGTATGTACACGGGCCGTGGGGAGGAGGTGCAGCAGCAGCTTAATGCAGAGGGGCATCGGCACGGGGTCGTCGAACTCTGAGTCCCGGTGTTGCATCGGCTAAGATATTGCGTTCAATCCCTACGACCATAACAGAGGTTCAAGAAACTCTGTCGGGGAACTCTTTATGTTATTTCACCAACGCTAACAAAATACTAGTGGTATTAATATATCATGAATAGTATTGGTAATTATTTTTCTTGTGGTAAAACTCAGGATAATTAAAATACGATATAGTAACAACAATTATGTGCACCAGTAATTCGATTTATTACACCAATATTATTTGTTTTTTTTAATTATGCGTAGCCTTTTTGTAAGTCAACTAAAAGGTCAGCCTTTAAAAAAGGCGTACAAAGATTAAATTTTAGTGATCCGGCGGAGAGATATATGTGATTTTTTTGAATACTTATGAATATGAGATAAAATTCAACTATGTTACAACGCTATTGAATGTTTGACCCTCGGGGCAGTCGCATTTACACGCTGACTAACAAATACCTATAGTTACATACATGTAATATTTAAATCGTCACGAATTGAAATTACGGTTTCAATTGGAGGAAAATTCCATTTTATTTATTAGGCCGTGGTTATTAACCTTTCAACGGCGAATTATACGGTTTTGGTATCAAACAGGCCGGAACAATTTTATACCAAAATAACAGTAGCCGCTAACGACGACAGTGACCGCCGCGTGGGCTAACCGGCACACGAATCAACAAAACATAATAAAAACAACGGTCGAAAGTACCCCCGCTCATAGAGAGGGGGGACCGGAGTTCCTTACGATGCAATCCAAGAAAAGATGCGTAGTTTTTGCGTCGTATCATCATGAATGCGCGACCAGCAATTCAAGGGGGGGAAGGTGTGGTGATGGTACACGTGTTCCTAGAGCAAAACGCCGGCCGGCGGCAATGACTAATACCGACAGGATACCGTTATTTAAAATGCTTGAAACGATTAGGATATACCGGCTACTTAATTAATTTTTACATATAAATTATTACTGGACGGAGGCATTGCACAATTTTAACTCATCTCGCTAATACCTGTAGGGATTTCCCGCGTACAACTATTTTCCTTTGTGCTGCTCTCACAGTTCATGACTCTCACTCGTCCACCGGAGGAGAGAGGTGCACGTAACAACAACAAACAACTGCGACGTAATACAACGCGCATGCTCAGCACCGATCAGCCCCTTCATTATACACGTGCTGGTAGCTCCCCACGTGCATGAGCAGCAAGTACGGCCGTCGGCTGAACAAAGAACATTCTCAGGCGTGCGCAAAACCGAAAAAATTCACCCCCTACGTCTAATGTCAGTAATATGTGTCCATAGATGCGCAGTATAACATCATGATGCATACAAAAGCACAAAGATTATTGCACCTTCTCGGGAAAAAGCCACTAAATATGCCAACTCAAAAATAAATAAATTAAGGTAACCCACATCATTAACACAACAGTTTTTTCTATTATTTATTAGGAAATATTTTTTTTTATTAAATTCCTATGTAACTAATGCAATTATTTATTCATTTTAATAAACTTAAAATAATCTTGAAAATGAACAACGTTTAATCATTGAGTCGTTAAATTTTGTATTGATGAACAATTTTTTGTATAGTGAAAAATTCGTCCTACAATATAAACAAACCAAAACAAATTCCTAATAAAAACAAAGACGATCAATCAATATTAATAAATTTACAGCAGTTATAAAAAATTAAGATTTTTAACATCAAGAGAATTCAATAACTGTTGTGATTATATTGTCTCGTAGGAGAGACAAAAAACTTCGGAATACACTACAATATAAACGTTAAGGTTCAAAGAAACATTATTACAGATAACTACAATCAATATAGGCTTTTCGTGGTTACGGTTATGATAAAACTGTGGCTTGGGAAAATAATTCAAACACAATTTAACAACACTAAGTGTGGTATTGTGGTACTGTATTTATGGTAAAGATTTTTTTAGACGATTTTACACATTTTACATTTAATTTTGGGAGATTGCCCGTTTCCGTTATGAAACCGATCGCAAATCTAACCAGCAGCAGCTTCTTAAGGCCGTTCTCATTATTACTATAAGAGCCGTTATTTAAAATTAGCCAAACGCACATACGTAGGTCGACAGTACGTACATTGTTTACCAAGTACAACATTAACACACTAACAACAATACGTTGTTCTACACGTGCACCGGACCAGCTGGATGCAATTGCGAAAATCATCGGTGGCGTCGACAAGGCTAAAGTTGCAACAACAGAAAATTAATAATAAAAAAAATCGACACGTCCAAGGACTTATGTCGATGCAATCCGATACACATGCACGCTTGTTTCTCCTACCAAACGCTAATAATATGACCATTGGCATTACCTTGTTTTAAAAAATGAATTATTTAACAATTAAATTAAAATGCAGTTCTTTCACTACAATACACATATGTATATATATATATATATGTTTTTTTCCTGAACACTAGTCAAGGTAAATATTACCGAAAAAAAATAATAATAATAAATAGAAATAATAACAAAGCAGACCATATCTACTCAAAAGTATTCACGGCTGTCGACCGGTGGCAGAGTCGTAGTATGGAATAATGTAAATTATAACCTACAGAAACAGCTGTTTTGTACGTAGGGAGAGCAAAGAGGGATGGGAGAAAGAAGCGAGTTCGTTCAATATATGCATCTAAAAACCGGTTCAAGGGTGAAATTCCAGACTGGAACAAAGAACCAAGACAGAAGTGGCGGGCTATCCCTTGGAAAATAGAGGATATATTAGTAAGTCATAAACTTCATAATATGCTTAAATTATAGAAACCATATTTTAACAACAAGAGTAATACCATTGCTCTATACTATTGCTTTTGATTATTAAATAATCAGAATTTTAGTTACAAGAAATAGTTACAATGTTTATATTACTATCGTAGAGAAACCAAATATAACCAAAACATTAGCAATGGACTTATTTTTAAAAGAATTTTACACGCGTGTCCTTGGACCAATCAACGTTTCCGGGTGGTATCTTACCGTGTCAAGGATAACAAGGACAACCGGCTTACTTTGATTAGCAATTTAAGTTGTTCATAGGTATTGACATTTTATCATTCATTTATTACACTTGAGATTTTACAGTAACTGACAGAAATCGTTATTGTTCATAAAATGCATATAGGAAATAATTGTAATATAAAAAAAAAGAAGAATAACATTCACTTTCTCTTTTTTAATTTCTTAAATTGATAAAAGATTAAAATTTTCGAAGCAATAAAATATGTAACACATGTTAACGTATATGTTATCTAAAGAAGAATTTAACACATAGTAGATAACAAGTTATTTAAAATGTCGGCGAAAAAACTAAAGAACGATAAAACAACAAAATAGTTTGTGCTGGTAAAAACTAGCGTGCGGCTAAAGAAAAATTATACATAGAGGAGAAACATAGTATTTTCAAACCAAATAGTTTGAAACAATTTCATGATATACATAATTAGGGGTCTCGTAGATCGGACTGTTGCAGATGTCTAGCTAAATTATTATTCAAATCTATCCTAAACAAAAAAACATGTTAACTAAGTTTCACGTATGGTTTGGTTTACACTACTCCATTATTTCCAGTTAATAAGTAAAATAACAACAAAAATCGTATTTACTAATTCAGTTAATACGGTTTGTGACTTTTTCGATTAAGGTTAAACGTCATGGTATGTGGATATTCAAAACGGCGTTGTTTTAACAAAACATAATTTAGTCAACCAAAATCGTCTACGTTTTTAAGTATGCATCACTGTGAATGAGTGCGTTCTAGTCGCCTAAACATGATGAGGAAAAACAAAAATTCAACTAATTCTTGGATAGCCAAAAATTAAATATGTTAAATTTATGCTATAAAACCTACAGGACGCTTACACAGTGACCAAATAAGTTATTTAAATATTCCATAATGCAATGCATTTAAAATGATACTGCCAAGCTATTACGAAATCTCCAGAGAAAGGAGGAAGTATATACATAAAACTCAAAACACATTGCTGACAATCGAGTGAACACAACCAGTTTTTTTTTTTTTTTTTTTCAATTACCACCCGGTCAATAAGTACATTCTAAAAACATGTTCTCACAGTGCATAGCAAAATAAAATAACAATAATAAAGCAAAAAAAAAAATAAAAACAAACGTTATTACACAATATCATTTTTGTATACTATTTACCAAAAGTAATGAAACTGTATCATGTATAAAAAATGATAAATTATTAGTCTTTTCAAATGTCGTCTAATTATTAACTGGCAAATTTGTAATTATAATACTGATAATTGATGTGATGAAAAAATTAATGATATTGAAATACTGACCTTTTTTCTTTTGGGTACGTCTTCGAAATCATCGTCAGTCAGTCCTATACCTTCATCAACAGCTGAAAGTAAGCCGCGACCGCTCCAGGCTGCAGAAGAACTGGATTCGCTGAGAGGTGGCGATGGAGAGCTTCGACACGAGAAAGCACCTTCGCTGGACGTGGAAGGACTAGTGGACAACGACTCCGGTTGTTGACAACGCATCATACGACCTATTGTTAAACACGAATATTATCAGCATAAGGGACATAAAGTTTTATAAGGTTTTCTGCAGCACTAATTAATGTTAAGCCCACGCTGAACACAACCAAAAGCCGGCCGGCAAAATATTTTAACAGTTTGTAGGTGGTGATGACGTAACAGGTCCGAATGACGCAAATATCCGTGTGGGTCGTGCGTGAGCTAACATTATGTCAATGGGAGGCAGCGCAGTATTTGCTCGAGAAGACCACTCAACTACGTTTATGTGAAAAGGATAAACGTCACAACAGATTGACAACAACAATACTATAAAATTGTCATATAGCGGCAAAACCGCTTATTTCAATTAAATAAGCTTAAAAACTATAACTCGGTTAAAAGAAAGATAACGGACCTGTCGAACACGCATTCGAGTGCACTTTAATTGCACATACATTACAATGTTACTGTATTTTTTGCAAGGACATATTCGTTGTTATTTTACACATGTGTTCCTTTGACTAGGTTTATCTACATACGTTTTACACCGTCAACACCTCCTCTTCAACTCGTTACTATCGTTAAACATTGATAGCCTATATCATTAAAGAAATAGCATAGTATGACTATTAGACCACATCTACGCCCTTAATCTTAATAAGTTCGAGTGACACTCGGAATCTTATTTCACTATTGATAACGATAGGTTATCATTGGAGAGTATGGAACATAAACAAAAGAATTTAAAACGCGCGCATTGCCTTTAAAACTGAAATAACGTACTAATTTAACTAAAACGTAGTGTTGGAAGAAAATATTTTAGTATGAACTCCCATTAATGAATTGGTACAAGAAACGCAACCGACTCAAAATCTTGAGAACTGACTCCTAGTATTTCTGACATAAATAAAACTTAAGCGACGAATTACACGTCTTGATCACTTCAAACATTTTGTTACTCATTTTTTTATTTTGTAATAGAGATCGTTTTAAATATTTTCAAATATGTACCACCTATAAAGAAAACATTAAACTAGCCAGCAGCGACACAGTTGCCGAGTACGGCGTACGTCCTTGTCGTATCAATGTCGGGCGTTTCGCACGAAACACACTTTTGTACGCCTACACTAGCAAAAGGGGAGAAGAGAACATGGACGTGGCACCGGTTGCCGTCCTTAACACTGCATTGTTGGTTACGAAACGAGCGTATACAATGCAGATACACACCAATGGCGGTCGGTGAGAGACCTCGCGCCAGCTTAACGCCAGTTTAGTTTGTAGAAAGCATGCTTTTCACTTTTACCGCTGCTGCACAAAATCTAGGTCGCTGTTGAGCAACTCTCTAAGCGCTTATTGAGTAACGGTGGACCACTGCAATCCGAAAGGAGCGGTCTAAGTTTTATAAGCAAACATAATCATGGAATAAAAACTTCCAATTGAAACGAAAAATTCAGCAGTGCCTCTTACCCGCAAGCTATTTTGTGTATATGCACTGGTTTAGCAATATTTCAATAATTATAGAGTGGTTGAGTACGACTACCATTTAGCCAGTCTATCGAGAGGCCCAGTCGGTTTAATTAAATAAGCCCCGTTATGAATATCAGTGTGCTATGTAGAGTGTATATATCGTTGCTTTTTCACTCGGCGTATGGTTTTTCTTTGCTATGGTCAAGTATTAGAGGTCAATGTACCGACGGCCGGTCCATGTCCAATGTTGGTGTCAATGCACCGGACTAGAAAATATACATGTACTAACACCAAGTCCCTACAGTGGGCGTCTATAAACTAAAACAACGATAATTGCATGCTTTAGTTTCCTGCATATACGAGTACCATAGTTTTGCATGTAAAAATTAGTATCATTTGGCATTTACTTACACGTGAATAATAATGGTACTAATAGTGCGTATCGCCCTCAACGCCACCATTTGTGTGAAATGAAAAAAAAAAACACGTGAAATTAAAAAATAATATTAAATGCGTTCAAAACAACAATATGACGTATTTATCCCTGTCATAACATAACGAACTATTAATGGAATAACAAACAATAATAGACATAATATATTTGTCGGGCACGTCTATGTTGTGAAACCGCGGAGAAAGGACGTTATAAAGCATGACTGAAAGTGAAAACCCCAAACGTAGCGAATGCAGACTCAATACCTTGGACTATAGGACATCATAATAGGGACAGGAATTACAGTAAGTTCAATGTAAATAGAGAGAGTAACCAATAAATTTGCCAACTCGACTAGCTTTTTGGTAGTCATAATTGGAGTTATTAAACGTACACGCAAACACATTTCACTGCGCTGACAATTGTAAGTAATTTCTGCGAATTTATTAAGACCAAAATTTAAAAAAATATGCGCACATTTAACAATGATTTAAAAAAAAAAGTCAATATATAGGCATATATTACACCGACCTTGTAAGGATGGCGAGTGGGGACTGCACGACAAACTCATCAACACCAAGGCCGCGGTACACTCTGTCATTTCTTCCTCTTTCGGTTCATTACTATCATCATCGCCTTTCATTTCCTCCTCCCGCGCATCATCCTGTTCTTGACTTGTACTAGGCCTTCGTTTTCGAGATCTGCAATAAAATCATCAACACTACAGTTAAATATACAATTAAATTTATAAATAAATACATATAACTTAGTAGAAAGCATAAAAATTATATGAACAGGAATAGATTGAGATCTATAGATAGATAAACTACAGTTTATGTTGATGAGCTCAAAGAAATAGAGAGAAATTTTATTTCCAAATGTTCGTAGTTATATTTTTTAAAAAACTAAAACGCGTTTTTAAAAATATTTATTTGAAAGGTAAATCATATATAATTTTACCAAAATTTCAATTTTTTAAGATACACTTACGTATGATAGAACGGCAGTATACCAGTCTCTTAATCTCATATGATACATAAACTATTAGTCATAAGCAATATTTATATTTTAGTAGGAAGTAAACTAAATGTAGGTCATCAAAAAAAGTCATGGGCTCTTTTCTACACAAGTTATTCTGAAAAATTGAAGACTTGCTCTAAAATTAATCATTGTGATAACTAGTTCTTTTTTTATACTTCAAAATGCTTAATAATCGACCGCTAACTAGTAAGTCACGAAAGGTCAGGGTAAACGACTGGGCTACAACGTAGAAATCGCACACCTATTTCGAGTTCTATATTTATACAAACCCAAGGATATACTTTATCCACGCTTTATCAACCATGTTACAACAAATGTACATAAGCTATGATAAAATTTATACCAATTACATTACCATATGGGTATCACAGAGTATCCTATACACAGGGCCGTGCGAAGGAGGGAACAACGGGGACAAGTTCCCTAGGGCATCACACATTTGAGGGATGCCAAATAAAATATGAATACATTTTTTTTTTTTTTGCATAAGATTTATTTTGTTTAAAAATATATTAAATAGGGGCGCAATCATACATACTAGCACGGCACTGCTAATATATATGATATTGTCAATTAATTTTATTGCTTTTACGTGAACATTATATCGGCACAATTTTATCATTTGCATAAATGCATGCACAAAGTGTGAAATAACTATCATGGATTTGATTAAATCGTCAAGTGCACACATAAATCGGCAGTATTCCAATGCGATACATGTAAATAATAGACCACCGCCATTGTTGTGTAACGCCCAACGTGTAATGGCCAAGCGATTTTATTTGCGCAATTATCAACATGCAACAAGTGGCAACACTTGTTGAGGGGGGAATTTAATATATACGAAAATGAATATATACGATCTGCTGGCTTCTAAAGAATTCTGGAATACAGATCGAATAATAAGGAAAACAATGATTTATAAACAACACACTGAAAAAATGTACGCCTTCAATATGCACATGAATTATTTTTCATCTCGTCATAGAACAGCAAATAGGATAAGTTAACCAGTAGTTAAGTAAAATAGTTTATGTAAAACTAAAAATTAAAAAAAATAACGCACAACAAAAAGACCGCGGATTAAAAGAGCTGCTGGTGGCCCACAACTCATTCATGGTCACCATACGTGAATAGCGCTTCATAAGACAAACAAACGGGTGCATACAACTGTATACACAATCTTATCGTGTGCGATGCAACAACACCTGCGTTACCGACCAACTGCAACATAACATCCTTGCGAAATATGTTTGAACTTGATTGTTTCCATCTTGATCATAATATTCACTGTCACTATACTCCGAAACCCGTTTCTAAAAAAGGATCGTGTACTACACAAAAAGGCCACGACCTAAGAACAGTCACAAAACTGGCACACGAGCAATTGGCTACAATTGTTGCAGCGTCAACATCTCTTTTTATAAAAACTGCATTTTACCATCATCTTCGATACAGTGTTAATTTATTTTTAATATCATACAAATCGTATACATTTTGAACAAATTAATAGTTTGATTTAATCTTTCTGTGTTCAAAATAAATAACTGAAATTTATCAGATGTTTTTCAATTAATCCGCCGAATAGTAAAAAATCGACAAAACGTGCGTATATTTAAAATCATATAATGATTCGTTCGTAAACCGGTAACAAGGCCACAACCTTTAATGTTAACGCTAACGAAACTCAAATGCTAAAAATACAATTTAATCGTAGGTAATATGATTAAAATTATAGAATATACTGCACATTATTCAGGCTGCGAACATATCACATAAGAATACGAAATAAATTTCTATTCATAAACAAATGCAGCAGTTTTGAAAAACGGCAACGATAATACTGCGGCAACGTGGCAAGGCCGTTCGTATGTCAACCGACCTTGAATGAGTTATTACACAGCTGATTGAAGGGCCGCTATTTTTTTATAACCATCTGGCACAGATTAGATAAAATTTCATCTAATCTGTCAAACAAAATGCTTATGTGATATAATTATAGCAATGATTAGATATGAGTTGGTAACTTAAACAAAAACACAAGGTCTTGGATATATTTTTTGGAATCGCGACTGGGAGGAGCCCAATCATTGAAACGCGGTTACTGCATATTTTACAACTATGTAAATTTGAATATTGAATATAAACAATGATAATAAATAATTTAGAATTCAATGTTTAAATAAATCTTAAATTGAATACTGAACTAATATAAATATTAATGATAGCGATTTACAATTATTATTATAAAAACATAATGTATTCGACATAGAAACTAAAAAAGTCCAAAAAATATTTATTTAGATATCCAATACACAATTGTGCGAGATCGGAGAAAAAGATGCCGGTGAAAGAATCACAAGATTTGTAAAACATATTATTAGTTTGATACGAATTGTTTAGACCGTTTTATCGACACAGATCTAAATTATAATAAGGTACATAACAAACGGTTTATAATAGGAGAAAACACCGTAGCAAAACACTGTAACCAGTGCGAAGTTTTCATTTTCCTTCTTACTGAATCACAAATATTTATGACTCTAAACTATAAGAACTATTTAGACGTCTAACAACAATAATAACAATAACATTAATAAACACACTAACACTATTGAATAATACATTTTATTATTCAACAGTTAAAATGATTCGCATAGTTTTGTTGTTAAGATTATAGGTCTATTTACACTTAACGAATGACGAACACAACAGATCTAATGCCCTAAAAGCAAATGATACTATAAAAAATAAATACTAAGGTAACAATTCCATTAACAATTTTATACTAGGCAAGACCCAATCAATATAAATAATAACATTTATTTGGCTAATGAACTCAATTTTTCATTAATCCAGAAAACTAATTTAAAATGCATTTATTACTATGCCAACTATCTCTTTCTTGTTTCCAATGTTTGCACCCCAGACATCAACATAATAATAATAATAGAAAAATTATCAAATGTCATATTGAAAACGATACATTATTTTGAACAGTATTTCAATGTGTAAACATTCACTTACCCACTAATTTCGACAGCATTTTGAGATGAGGAGCTGCGTTTTCTGTCTGACATGTCAGCCAACCTAGCAAAATCTGTATCTTGATCCATTAGTCTAGCGGATTTTCGAGACTCAAGAACGCGAACATCATCGAGTTTTTTAATCACTTCAATTGAACCCTATAAATAAGAAATAAAAATATCAGACGAATAAATACCGGCTTAATGATACAAATAGTAGACAAAACTTAAAAAAAAAAAATTTAAGATAATTGATAAAAATAGAATAACAAACAAAAAAAGTTGCTTTCTCTCATTTGCCAGATATACCTGTTCGTTGATTTCTTGAGAAACCGGTGAAATTCACATTAGCAACTATATCTTAAAGACATCGTAACGAGTTAAAATAATACTATGATATTTGATATGCGTAAATTTTTTTTAGTAAGGATTTAGTACAAAAATACAATAAAGGCAGGATCAGAGTGCTGTTAGAGACCTATAGTCATTCTTATCGTGTCAACGGTAACTGACTATTGAACAATGTTAAAATTACCAACGAAGCAGATAAGAATAGGGATATACTAATTAATGTATGCAAATTTTCAAATGTAGTTCAAAACTAGATGACCCGGATTTCATCACGGCCGGCACACGCGTCAAAGTCAAGGTCATTATGATGGAATTGCAATATTTTATTGATATTCATTTATCAGTTCTGTTCCAATAATTTGGTTATACGTTTTCTAATATCGCACAAGTTCAGTCGCAAAAATATCGAACATTTTCTTTTTCTAATATAGTTTCGAGTAAAAAAACTTAGCAATATCAGAAGGGGAACAGTCACTGAGCTGTCAGACAACGACCGTAGAAATAATAACTTTTGACGCAATTATTCCTTTCGCTAGGTTGTTACAACGGAATGTCGCGGCGGCACTCTAAGAGAAAGGTATTTTTTGTTATTATTGTAACTATGTGATGTAAAGAAGGAACGAAATAGCCGTAGAAAGTAGAACCCTACGTATACTATTGCACCCCACCTTTGTTTCAAACCACTACGCAGCGCATTAACAAAACTACATTTTACAAAAAATTTTAATGTTTCTTTAAGTGTCATTTAATTGCTCTGCACAGGTCGATTACACCACTTTAAATCTTTTTTCTTACAAATTAATAATAATAACACAATTTTAGTGTTACCCACCAAAAAATGTCACTAAAAAAAAATATATATACATATAACACGAAATTACATTGTACACGCTACGGAAATGAGACGGCCACTCCTGAGGATATTGGCTGTTGCCGTCCCCCGCAGTTTTCCTCTGTCTTTTCACGGCCGGATACCTGCAAAACGTTTTATAACAGGTGCTGTGTACCAGTTAAATAAAGGCGTTTCCAGGGTGTCCACAGTAATACCTTTAGAAGTATTTAGAACAGATTGTGCATAATGTTTTATTAAAAGGCACGTATCGTATTGTCTGACGAAAAGTACATCGAAGATTTTCACAATGAAATAGACGGGAGAACGCTACTGGACATCATGTCGTTAAGGTTGGCACCAATGATGCCCGAGCGTGTAACCGCCAACCCGGCAAAATTAGCGTTCCTACCTACACCGAGAACTACGTACAAATAAAATGATAATGCTGTTTATACATGCAAAAATCTTACCAACGATTTATAAAACTTATTCACAACAAATAAGACGAAAATTGGAAAAGAAAAAGTAATTGTCGTTTTGGCGCCAATATCATACGCACTTGTCTACTGCGTCGTATAAATCGAGAGCCTAAGCGGAGTAACAAAGGCCTTTGTGTTGTGATTATGATAAATACTTACTTCATGACCCGGGGGGGTTATTGAAACGCGTACTTCTTCTGTGTCAGGCCTATGAACTACCACATCACCAGATATTTCTCGGCCGTTGAAAGTAATAAACACCCGTTGGCCTGCCATCAGCCGAAGATCGGAAAGAGTTCGAAAGCCTGGACCGACAAGTTCGGTGGCTCTGTATTCACGGCGACCTGTCGTTCCGTCGTCGAATCTGATCGAATATCCAGTTTCTGAACCATCAGCAGCTGTTTTGACTGCTGCTATAATACCGGAATACAATTTACCATCGTCACCGGCCGGCGCACAAACCCGTGTGCCAATAATTGACCGTTTAGCCAAACGTTTGCCCACGCCCACAGTGGGCCCGTTCCTATGCTTCATACGGATATCCAGTTTGAAGTTTTATTGAGAACGCTTTTTAAATAAAAAATCAAAACGGTTGATATGATTAATTTTTAAGCGACACCCACGGCGTATAAATTCAAAATAGTTAAACGCATTATGAAACACTCGTTCACAAACAATAACGACCAAATACGAATTAAAAAACAATTCGAATATTTAAAATATAAGCACAAAAATGTAAAATCACGAATACTATTTAAGTCAATGTACGTAAATGACAGGCGAACAATAACAATCTGGAATTGGTCACACGACAGCGGAGTACTACCGGCTTCGGCAAGACGTACAACGGAACTATAGACGTGGTTCGGCATTAATGTTCGACGCCACAGCTGACAATGCCGGTTGCCGGTAACCATGCAGTGATACCAATTTACCGTACCCTATCGACCCGGTTTTGTGTCCTACTATTTTTCTTCACATAACAACGGTGTCGACATTCGACGCGCATCCTGCATCGTTTTATTTTATTACAATTTATAAATAATCATTTGTACTATACTACAATAGTCGAACTAATAACAATAAAGAGTTTATTTGTGATATAATTTATAACATAACTACTATTAATGGAAACTGAATGTGTATTGCTTTTGTATAAGAACATTGTTTTCAATGTGATGTTCATGAAAATGTGTGTCCCCTAATGAGCCATTGAAAATTTAAGCTCTGTATAAATTAATATTTATTTCTTGATCTTTTGAAATAACTATAATTTACTATTAAAATCTGTGCTGTTACCGTTTACAGGATATCTATGAGTTTTCTATATGCGTCGTCATTGGTATTCCCACGAATAATGGATAACGAATTAAATATTATTTTTTGTTGCTACCAGTTAAAATTTTAAACTCAAGAAATTGTGGAGCTATCATTAAAACTACTGTATAGCTATTTTTTCGTTTAAATTACATACTCCTTTAAGATTGAATTTTTGGTGATTATTTAAAGTACATGGTATTTCTACGTTATTAATATTCAATTTGCATAATGTATTAAATAAATCTAATTTTTTATATTAATAATATCAATTTATATTTATTTACATCCATTTTATTATTTATTTGACAAAATAAACAATGCTCGAAAAACTGTTGTTAATGATGTTAAAAACAAAGATATTTATTGTTTTCATACACTCGAATATTATGATTAGGAAATAACGATTAATTACATCCAACCACATATGTGGTATACTATATAGTATTCACTAATATTTGGTGTATAGTAATATTTTCTTAAATGCCTTTACTAAATAATGAATAGAATTATGTGTAATTTTCATAAATTAGACTAGATGCGCATTTATTGTACATATTAACCTATATTAATATGCAACCTATATTGGGCTTACATGTTTTGAATTTATTTAAATACTGCAGAGCTCCCGACCAAAACTAGTTTTCTGAAAGTTTTGCCATGTCTGATCAACTGTGCAAGTCGATAACAATGAAACGCCACCATGTTTGCCTCGGAAAAAAACGATAAAGCTTTTAATAAAATCACACATTTAATTCTTTTGTCTAATCGCAGTTTCTAATCTTAACTAAACCGTTTTTCTTTGTTTAACTGTGATTTTAACTAAATATTATTTCATTATATTGTTTGATTATGTATTATTGTGTATACATTAGATGTGATATAGTTATAATCGATTAAAAATAAAATGACAAAGTAGCTTTTCCTTTGGTTTGATAAACAATAATGTTTGCACAATTAGTACTACCTTACGTACGCAATTTCAATTACGAAAGTTGGGTTTATTGTTTTCGTATTTGGTAAATACAATAATTGACGTAATCATCAAGCTTTAGGGATAAAGATGGTTGTTTAGACACAATTATTTTTCCCATTAGGCTGGCAGCAATGACAAGGACGAATTGCCGGCAATGAAATATTCGGAATATTTCATTTATAAATATTACACACCTATTCTAAAAATAATATACATTAGATATTATAATATTTAGCCAGAGTAGCTTTTAAACACAGTCTGGAGAATAAAAATTGTTTATATATTCAACTAAACAAAAGTATATTCCGTTGATTGTTAATTTATACATTCAAACCTGTGTTAATTACGTCCACACTGTGACACTCAACTAAGTCCGAGGTCTTCACGGCTTCTACCAACCTATTCTGAGTACTATTTTCATTGGATATATATATTTTTTCCGTTTTTAATTTTTTAATAAGGTCACATGGAGTTATGAACGGCGAGTCTATACTAAGTTTACTGAGTCTATACAGTTTCATAAATTTTCAGATTTGTCTTTTTAATTGACATTGTAATTTTAACAGTAAAGGAAAATAAAATCTTTGTAAATAAGCTTTTAATACATTGACAACTGTATATAGTTGTATAAATATAGCTGAATAAACGAACTGAGAAGATCTTAAATCAATCCTTACTAAACACTAAAATAAAAAATGAGTAATGGTTTTCTACGGTTATGAAATTGTAGATAACACATTATAATAGAATAAATTGTACATTATCTATATTTACATAAGAAGATTCTGGAAACGGCCCTTTGAACTTTAAACACTGGATTAAATAAATATTTCGTACATTGTGATGAAATTATTTATAAAACTGCCTAATGTAAGGTTATTATTATTATTTTTAATAGAGATTCAGTATTTAAATCTTACACAGTGAAAATCGAATTTTTTGCTGTATTGACTTGATTGAATTTTGTTTGAACTACATATTTTTCATTTTATTCTAAATGAAATATCAATAACTAATTTTTATTTGACAGTGAATAACACATTGTCGTTACAGTTGATGTGAAGCTTACTATTATTTTATACTGCCGTATAAAATTATTCAGTACCGTCATCGACGGGTTAGCATTGACGTAAAAAATAATAGTAATAAACGCCAGTTAACGACGTACTGCGCAATAGCATTTTATATTACTGGTTTTTTTACCATTTTAAATAATTTAATTAAAATGGCAAAGTATTAATAATTAGGGTGATTTTTAATTACCTTATAGTTTGGGGTTTTTCACTTTTGATTCTAATCAAATTGTACTGGTAGTCAATAGTAACACTTTAATAGTTCCCAAGTGTATTAATTCATTAAAACTAAATTATTATCTGAGAACTTTTGTGAAAATCTTTTTGACATTTAATTTTTAACGAGATAGATACAGCTAATAGAAAGTGTTACGCTTTTCTCAGAAAATTTCGCGAGTAAATAATTTACTCGATGCACTTAATAATAAAGACTAGTGCACTTTGAAAAGAGACAATGATACAAAATTTGAAACTGTTACTAAATGTTAACGGAATGCCAAGCAAGATCACGGACAGTGATTGTCAATATGATTCATAATGTTCATGATTCATCGTGAAATCTGTAGTATCAACAATTATATCGATGTACTATTACGGTGTAAGCAAAGTAGAAAAGACTTAAAAATGACCTACTTTCGATGTCATTGTGTGACTAGGCCGCGATTATTAATAGCAATACATAACATAATAGCCCTATTATTTCGAAGATTCACTCAGTACGATGCAATTGCTATCAATAGTGTAATTTTAATTTTCGACCGAATTGTTCGGGAATAATAATCTTAATTAACCCGAATAAATGTTATTTAGTAAATAATACGTAATTCCATCGACGTATGTAGGAAAATATTATTATTGTTGTTGTAGGATTTTTGGACAAGCCTCGTACAAGGTTATTGCTGTAGCACAATAAATCTACGACGAACAAACAGGAACGCAGAATAGGAAGTGGTAAATATAGTCAACGAGTATTTTATATTTTGCACAGAGGCTGATCGCTTTTATAGATCTTGTGTACAACGTAGGCATAATTTGCCTACCGGCCGGCCGGCCGGCCCAGGGACCCGGCACAGCTGACACGCATAAACATTAAACTTTAGGGAGAGGGGACGCTAACGCTACAACGTCGAGGTATATCGGTGACCTCGACATCGTGTTTACATTGGTTGACCCACTTCGACATCGACTCTTCACGAGCACGGTATACCATAACTACCGTACCAGCACGCGCCGATGGTGACGTAACGCGAACGCTGCTGCCGGGCGGCGAAAGTTTTTTCGTTACTGCGTAATATATTTTAAGCGTCCCCACCAGAGCGCAAATGTCACCACCACCATCGCTTTTCGCTACTCTACTTCTCACATGCAGTGCTGCAAATCGCCTACGCGTTACGCATGTCTTAACAGTGAGCACCTAATAATATTGCTATTTGTCGCATTTCCTAGCACAACAATAATTATAAATATCACAGATGCGTTTCTGTTTTCTTCTATCCAATGCAAACGTTTATATTGACATTCTTACGTTGCACCTGCGTTGTTATAAAAATAAGTGGTAATGAGACAAAAATAGATGAAACACTAATAACTTAGTATTGAGTAAAATTTATGACATTTTATGATCAGTTATTGTAATTTAGTATCATTACACCTTCTTACTTAATGACATATTATTTAATCAACATTGCCCTAGAAATCGTTTTGGTAGACATTAACTGTCTAATTATATCGAATAAGTACCTTGTAAGTGATTTTTTGAAATATGTGTATGATAATTACTGATCGTTATTCGTTGTCAGTAACGAGAGGTTACTATTCTATTAAATAATTATTTAATAAAACAGTGATTTGAAACATAGTTGTTGAATGCGATAAAATCGTTGTGATACTTCCAATCTATTGTACAACGTGTTTAAAATATACACTGCTTTTGTTGTGTAATTTCGTACACCCTTGACAAAGTCAAAATTATCAATAACTTTTTCATCATACATGTCAATTCAGTAGCGTAGCTAAGGGCGGCTAGAGTGGCTATAGCCAATAGAGAATAAGACTTTGGTGTTAGTAAGATTATGAAATTTGTTAACAAAAAAGTCTTGAACCACCTCGAACAGAAATCCTGGTTACCCTATTGTGTCTTCTATTATAAAATTCACTTGATAATATTTGAGGTAAATTTCTTCGAATTGTTTAAATATTTATTAAGCGACACTTTTAATTTTAGTAAAATAGTAACAATTTTTTTGTCTAACATACATAATAAAAGAGAAAAAACTTGAAAGTATAATTAGCTTTTCAATTGATATTTATGGGCTTTGATTCATGATCTTGTCACCGTCTGCTCCATTGATGCATCTGTATTTAATGTCCTATTGCTCTCATCTTCAGTATTGCACTGAAGATGAGAGCAATAAGATATTAAATATATGGGACATTTTAAATGCAATACTTAACTAATATTTAAATTGATCAAGTCATTCCTAGAAATCGAATTATACTTCACACAATATTTTTTAACATTTATTATTTATGATCTTTTTTTTTTAGAGTGACCAAACATCTAGTAACTCACTATTTTTGGAATTTAATCCCCACAATGAAAGTTTTTTATGTGTGCTTTGAAAGTTGGATTTATTCACGTTGGTGTTTTATTTACATTATTGTACTTATTTCAAGTCACCACCCTGAGCACCTCATTATCCTATCATGTTATTATTCTTATTTATTGGAATCATTACAAACCTGTTTTTCACTCTCACTTTACAGTATTTACAGGTCATTCAAATGTTAATTGAATAACTGAAAATAACGATAATCAGTTTTTCTGATATTTTATGGTCAACATATTAGTGATCATAAAACTTTATATTAAATTTTAATAAATTAATTATTTTCAAGAAAAAAATAGGTTTAATCAATGTAAATTATAAAGTTATAATATATGTATTACAAAATAAAATAAAGGTTTATACATATTATGTTCCCACATTTTATTCATTATATTACAAAAATTGTTTTCTTCGTACCTCAAAAAAGTTATTCTTACGAATTAATTTCTTTACATTTCATAGATGAAATTGATTATATAATCCAAAACATTTTGTTTTTTATAAATTTTTTATAAATTAATTATATAAAAAAAAAATTATAAATATACTATAAGTTTACTAACAATAATTTAATAAGAATCTTGTGGCGTAGTTAATTGCAAATAAATTGTATATTTAAATCTTAATTCTACTAAAGTAAAAATAACAAAATTGCAACAAATTGGTTGTTAGGGAGTTGTTAGAATTTCACTGTTCAATATGTCCTAAAAAATTAACTTTGATTTTTAAAAACTTATTTTTTATTGCTTTTTCACTTTTTAAACTTACTACTTTTGAATTCTGATATTATGAAGAAAACAAGAATGTCTCATTTCGTTACAGAGAATTCGTATTCTAATATAAAATAATCCTTAAAATAAAACCGCTTTAGGAGTTGACTTCGGTTATCTCTATATGTATAATATATTAATTAGGAACTTTGGGTTGCACAGTAGATCATTTATTCGCCGTCTTAGCGCAAATGATCAGCTGCATTGTTTGACGACGGTGACCATACGGGAACTTTGGTAGTCACACTCGCCTTCATTGTCTCCCTCAACCATAATAAGGTGCGTTAGTGTTAGCTGATATAAAAATTTTGTCAAATCGTAGAGCTTACTGCAAATAGTTAGGATAGAGGTTAAGGAGATGATATTGATATGTTAATAGAATGTTATGTTTAATTTACTTACTTGCAAATTAATTTAATAATAATTAATGAATATAAGTATATTGAATCTAAGTCTTTGACATAAAATGTCAATTATTTTTTTATAAAATATTTTACTTCAAACGCTATCTATTCGTTAAAATATTAGACATATTTGGATAAAAATTAATTTTTCCAAGAATTTTCTTAATATAGTTGATAACTTATCACCATTGTGTTTATACTGTTTGGTTCCTTCTACTTGTATATTCAATGTTGATAATAATATTATCTCGTTGATAGTACTTTACAAATAAAACATGAATAGAAATCAAAAACTAAGATATAATGCCACTTGTAGAGATTGAAAGAGTTGGATCCAATAATTAAATGAACAAATTTTTAGATGGACTGATAAATCTGATTAAATAAATTATTTTTTTTAAGCTTGAATTTTCCTAAAAATATAGATCAAAAATAACCTAAGCTAACTTTAGGACGATAGGTTTGTTAAAATGTTATAATTTTCATGTAATATCAACTAAGTTAGAATGCTTATATTTAGGAAATGTTGTTACAATGGAGTTTGCAGATAAAATTAAAATACCTAAATTAAATGGAGTTTACATGAGAGGTCCTCACATTGCTCAATGTTCTACTGGAACTCTAGTTATCACTGGACATCATCTGATTTTCTCTTCAATAGCTGATGATGTTGAACTTTGGGTAACAATTTTTAAATTAAGTTATTGGAAGTAATGCCTAAAGAATTGAATACACTTGGTAGATTCTAAATCGAAACATTGATGTGGTCGAGAGAAAATTAAGTTCTGTTACATTGAAGTGCAAAGATTTTAGAATAATTGTATTTGACATGCCTTATATTGAACAAGCTACCACTGTTGCTGCATCAATTGAATCTCTTATGATGATAGGTAATTTTATAAAGTTTGATTGTTGTTTAAAATTCTATAAAATATTGTAATGGTTTTTTAGAAGATAATGATCATTTTCATAGATTACTTCCAAATAAAATTACCAACTGTTATTCACCCTTTGATGTGCATTCTCAGTGTAAAAAAATTTTAGGAAATGACAAAATGTGGCGTATATCAGAAGTTAATAAAGCTTATAAGGTATTTTTAAATATTTATTTAGTTATTGAAAATTTAAGTTATAAGATATATACTACTACTTTCTTTTTTCTTTAGTCAAAAGGCTTTTTTAAAAACTATATTGTTTTAAAATTATGTTATTTTGTTGTTTTTATTAATGTATCATTTTAGGTATGTAGCTCTTATCCCGAATTGACTATAGTTCCGGCTAATGTTGATGATACCATGTTAATTGCATCAGCAAAATTTCGACAAAATGGTAGATATCCTGTATTAAGTTACCGTCATGATAAAGGGGTAAGTAAATATTAAAAAGTAATAATATTAGTTGTGATATATCTTTTTTTTTTTTACCAATTTTTATATAGAAATTTTTTAATTGTCTGAATATTATAATTAATATTGTTGTACCAATTAAAAAAAATTGTTTAAGAAGAAAAAAGCTAATTTTTAATTATTTTGTTTCTATTTTTTACTTGATGTAAAATTTGTTTATGTAAAATTTTATGGTGCATTAATAGGTATAAAAAATGCTTTAATTTTAATTTTGATATTTTATAATTTTTATACAGAAGAAATTTTTACTTCTTTTAAAAACTAGTCTTTTGTAACTTATGCATTTATATATAAAAATTTGTTAAAGATATTCTTATTATTTTAGTACTCTTAATTTCTTAATTTTTTTGTAGAGTGTTTTAATGAGGAGTAGCCAACCTTTAGTTGGTTCTAGTTCTAAACGCTGTAAACAAGATGAGCGTGTTATTAATTCTGTACTTGGTCCAGGGAAAAGAGGTTATATTATAGATACACGTAGTGTAGCAAATGCAACAAATGCAAAAGCAAAAGGAGGAGGATTTGAAATGGAAACCCATTACCCTCAGTGGCGTAGAGTGAATTCATCAATTGAGAAGCATAATGTTTTATTAGATAGTTTGTCAAAACTTGTTGAAGCTTGTAATGATGTTAATTGTTCTATTGATCGTTGGTTAAACAAGTTAAATAATAGTGAATGGTTATCACACGTTAAAGATACATTGAATGCTGCTTGTTTAGTTGCTCAGTGTCTAAGTCAAGAAAAAGCATCAGTTTTAGTGCATGGTTCAGAAGGAACAGATGCTACTTTAGTATTAATATCATTAACACAATTGATATTAAACCCAGAATGCCGCACAATTATTGGGTATGTTTTGATTTTATAAACTAAAAAGAATAATTATTTATTTGACTTCTGAGATACAATTTGAAAAGTTAATTAATAGTTATTATTATTATCAAATAAATATCAGTAACTGGTAATAACTACTGATAACAAATTATTATATAAAAAAAAATGGATTAAATTTGAAAATATTTTTGGATAATAAGTTTTTTTTTTATAAGATTTATTCTTTTTCAAAAAAAAAATTTCTGTTGAGATTTGGGCTATTCAATATATTCAACTTTTAATTTAATATTTAAAAATGTGATCTTATTTATCAATATATTAATTAAATATAATAAAAAAGAATATTGAAACTACATTAGGTTGGTATGAAATATTTATTTTTAATCTAATTAAATTTAATTATTGATTTTTCACTTTTGTTTTAGATTTGAATCACTAATTGAAAGAGAATGGTTACAAGCTGGTTATCCTTTTGAGACACGGCATAGAAGTGGATGCTATAATGCAGCTCGCACAAAGCAAACCTCATCTTCATCTTCAAAGACTATACATCATGGATCTGGCGCTACATTTTTATTATTTATTGATTGCACATGGCAAATACATAATCAGTTTCCTTGTTGCTTTCAGTTTTCAACAAAATTTTTAATGTCAATTGTTGATCATGCTTATTGTTCAGATTTTAGTACTTTTTTTGGAAATTGTGAAGCTGATAGAAAAATAAATAGATATAGTAGTTCAAATTTATGGTCTTATTTTGATAAAAAAAAAAGTGAAATTACAAATTCGTTGTATTTACCAAACAACAATGTTTTGTGGCCTTCAGTAGCTCCTTTTAGTATTGTAAGTAATTAATTTATCTGAGATTGCTTTTTAACTTGATTATTTTTTTTAGACAACCACAATTCTACTTAAGAACTTCTTTAATTTCTACATATGTTTTAAAATTGCGTATTTCTAAAAATTATTATATTTATTTACCTCTTCAATCACTTAATTATCAGTATGCAAATTGTTTTAAAGGGTCCATGAAATTCAACATTTTTTAAAAAATTAAAAAAAAAAAAAGATTCAAATTTGTTTTTTAAGAGCGATAAGGAAAAAATTCTTCATTTTATAATGGCACTTTAAAATTAGTTGTTTCAGTAATCCACTCTCTACATATGTTGCCCTTGAAGTTTACTATTAGTAGACTTATGTTATTTTGAAGACTTTTTGAATAATTTAAGACTGGAATATTTAAAAAAAAATAAAATAAAGGTTAGTCATGCCTTAAATGTCGTCTCAGTTGGTGTGTTGTCTTGGCCCATATATCTTTGTATATTAGGCTTGTACAATCATCAGTGGCTTTGTTTGGGTTTGATAATTCACCACAAAAAACATTGTTTTCAATAAAACTCCTATTAAAAATTTAGAAAGTTTTAAAATAATTAAACAAGAAAAATAAATACATGGAAATGTTGAACAAATTTTGAGTATATATCTGTATTATTATTATATTTTAAGCCCTTTGGTATGGTTTATTAGTTTATTCCCAAGGACAAAAAAATTTCTGTGGTTAAATATTCTGTTTTTTATGCTTTATTTAAGTCATCTTAGTTGTGGTTTCATTTTTTTGATAATTTTTTGCCATTATACTTTTTATACCAACATTTGAAAATAAATTGATTTATTAATTATAGGAATTATGGAGAGAAATGTATCTACGATGGTCTATTGATCAAAATCACCAAAATTTGTATCAAGAAGCTATTAGTAATTTAATGAGATGTAATAGAGATTTGAAAGAATTAGCTACAAAACTACGCAATGAGGCTCAAGAGTCTGAAAACAAGTTTATTTAGAACATACTTTTATACCATTTATTAATCTTAATCAATTATTTTTATCTTGTATACTTTATTCTGTTTTTTGTTTTTAAATGAAATCAAAATTAAATTATTTATCTTAAAAATTGCTATTACCCTGATTTTTTTTTTTTACATAATTGATATTTTTTTCATAATATTAAATAATTGAAACTTGGTTTGATAATGATTAATTAATAATAATTTTATACAAATTATCGTTGACAAACTAATTTACACACAGTTCTCAATTTTTAATCAAATTCTCAACATATCAAGTTATTTAATAAAAAGATATTTTGATGGTTTTTAAACATTTAAAAATACAGGAGGGTCATTCATTTATCAGTGACCCACTTTATATTAGTTGAAAATAAAAATAACATTGATAATTTTTTTATTGGATTCTTTAGTTCACTATTTTTTCAATCATGAAGTATTTTTAATGATCATCCTTTATAACGTCTAAGGATATCAACTTGTTTTTTTTAATGGGAACATATATAATTAACTAGATTTTTTGTTAGATAATGATTTCATTAAGAATATGAATGATCGATAACAACTTTTGGACCATTATTTTGGAAGTTTTTAAAATGATTATACCTAGGCAGAAGAAAGAGTATGCTAGGGAAATTTCTAATAATAAATAAAGTAACACTCACACTACCACCCATCTTAACTTTAAATTGTGAATAAAGTCTGACATTAAACTAAAAGAAATCATTTTCTTAATTAGATGTATTAACACAGTTAATTAATTATATACATTTCCAATTGTAAAATTAAAGTTGACACCCTTATAACATGGGGGACGAACTTAAGAAATATGATTGATAAATTAAGATAACATTGAAATAAAAGAAACGAATAAAGAAATTTTTTTTTACTATTTGATTAATTAAGTGCATTGAGATAAATGAAATATTTATATATACAGAGTGGGGTTCAACTATTGGAAATTTTAAATGTTCATTAAGGGAAATATTGTTATATATAAAGAACTTTACATTAATATGAAGCTAAAAAATTTTTTAGCTTTAAAGATAAAAACACCTCAATTTTCATTAATGGGAACTCCTATTTTTAGTTTGATGGTATGATAGAAAAAAATTTAAACAATATGGTTCTAAAGATATCTTGATGCCGTCAGTCAACTTGTGTTTTTAAATTTTTTAAAGATCTGGATTTAAAATATAAATTTATCATTATTTTCGGTAAAAATTAGACTGGAGGCAACAATAATCTGTTTCAATAGGCCATAAATTATTTTTATTGATCAACAACAATAAAGTAAATTTATATTGAATATTATACAGAGTGTTCAGTAAGTCAGGAAACGGGCTTCTATTGTTCTGATTGTTACAAACGATGAGAACAATAGAAACCCGTTTCCTGACTTACTGAACACTCTGTAGAATGCGTCTATCAATAGAGCTGAATTAGGTAGTTACAAAAAGATTTACTGACATACTACTATATCATATAGTAGTATGTCAGTTTAGCATATAGTCTAAATGCTAAACAGCAAATTATCATGAAAAAATTGATCAAATTCGCTAAACTATCGAGAAATTTCAAAAGAAGAGACATTTTTTCTTCTATTATATCAAAAATTCTTGATTTTATTTTTACACATGTTTAACTTTAAAATGCTATTATTTTTTGAAAATATGGATCAATACAATTTTTTCATGATAAATAATATTTATATACTTCTTTCATTCGACATACTTTTTTTTAAAATAAAATCATTTCCCTTTAAATATTTATATATTATAAATATATATATTTATTTATTTATTCATGTATTACACTTATAAATCATAAAACTTGCAATCAGGATATAAATAAGGAAATAGGAGATCATGTACCTTTTGGAATAATCTACTATTTTTTTAAAATTGAACACTATCTACAGATTTGCATCGAAGCGTTTTTAACACGCTTATATTAGTTTCACATGTATGTTGTGTGTTTGTTGTTTGTAGTTTGTAACTTTCCAAGCGCACGCGCACGAGACTAGACGGTCGTAACGCATTCACCCCATCCCGCTCACCAGTCGTCGAAAATAATATTTTCCAACCCTTAGACGCGCGCGTGTCATCAATTATATATATATGTAAATAAATTTTTATTGAGACACGGCCCCGTCACTCGTGCTACCTTTATCAGCCGTCGCCCTACTATTAGTATAAGTGACCACGGTGTAAAGTCCAGCAAGTGTCGCACGGCCGACGATGACCCGCCGCAAATGATACGTTGAGTCTTCTTCCCGTTGTTAAAGTGGCAACGTCGATGATGTACGCCACCGGCTCCTGACGTGCCGCACGACCGAACCGATCCGCATCCGCGTACCGTCGCCATTAACGCTGCTAACTTTTCGACGCCAGCCGGAAACCGCCTACGAAAGTGTCGCAATATTATACGAAGATTATTTTAATTTTGTCCAATTCGTATAATATATATATATATATATATATATATATAGCGTTATATATTTTTTTTAATTTCTTCGATATATTAACATACGAATAAATTAATCTATAAAATCGAATTAATTTTTAAATAATTCATATTAATGAGTATTTGTTTTTACTACAATTCTATTGTACAAATAAGAACAACTCGAATAAAAAAAAATTTAGTTCTATATAACTGCGTTTTGAGTTTTGTATTTAAACATTTTTGTATTTATTTAAAGCACCAAGGTTTTTAGAAGTTTAATAGATTCTATTGACATATTGGTCATGAACCTTTTTACCCACATTTTTGATGTCCTAACTAATAAGCAGTTATTTTTGGGAAACAAAGTAATGATGCATAATTACGCGAGTTTTTTCCAAATAAATATTTCAGTATGGGGCCAAAGCTCAATAGTTACGCTAACCTGAACGTGTGCTGTTTTCCTTGGGTGTGGTAGCTGTTTCTCAGCTCCCTCCCCGGAATCGAACCCTGATTTCCCGTTACCCATTACAACCATGATATTGATAGTAACTACTATCATAACATGAAACTAAAAAGTGAAAATTAAATATAGTTTAAAAAAACTAAAAAAACAAGCTTTTAAAGTACATCGAACTAAAAAGATAAAAATAATTTTTAAAATAAGCTTAAAACAATAATGAACAAAAAATACTAGTATTACTGTGATAAAAGCGTGGGTGCTTTGTGCCATATTTATTGTATATTGAGCGCCCGACGCTTTTATCACAATAATACTAGTATTTTTCGTTCGTTAATGTTTTAAGCTTATTTTAAAAATTATTTTTATCTTTTTAGTTCAATGTACTTTAAAAGCGTGTTTTTTTAGTTTTTTTAAACTATATTTATTTGATAGTGATTTTAATCACTGTCAGATATCATTATACTTGACCCAACTTTACCCACTGTGTTGCGGTTTTTTTTTTATTAAGCTGCTTTACACGAAAAATGAATTTTCTACAACCATCCCATATACCCTTAACTTCTACCAACTTTGTTAAATAGCAACCTAAATTTTTTTTTAATCATTAGATTTATTTAATTTTTAAGAAAAATTTAACTTTGATACGAATCTGAGAAGGTATTAGTTTTAATATTCTTTTTTGTTTTTCATTAATTTTTTTAAGCTCTCATCTAATTTTTTTCAATAATTTGTCAAAAAACACAAATTGTGTCTAGTTGAAGACATTACCGTCAAAAGTTTTTTAAATTTCCATTGTTTCCCACTGTTGGAAGAAATTTCTAAAAAAAATGCGACTTTTAATACAGTAAATATTGACTATTGTCATGTTTACTATTGAAGTAACTATTTTATTATTTTTTAAATATCTTCATTAAAATTATATTATTAAACTGTTGAATACTAATTTCATTCTAAATATTTTATCATGTAATAAAACAGTGGAAAATTACTCAACGATGATCGATTTTCAATTTTTTTTATGAAAGAGCTCAGCGACGTTATTCTGGAAAAATATTTGCAAAGATGAGAAAAATTTTTTAGCACTCCGTGAGCGTTTATTGGTTCTATAAAATAGCACCCATTGCAGACAGTTTTATCCATTTAAAATCTGAAACTTTTTCAATGTCCATTTGTATAGTTCTTGTTTAGATACTATTGCAAAATTGTGATGTGCACACGTATTTATATATAAAAGGGTATTTTAATGATTATATAGTTTTTTTTGCATACCTATAGTATTAAATAGACCTGGAATAGGTTGAAAAGTTTAAATAGTTTATGGTATTAAAAATAAGTAACAATAAATATCATCAACCAGGATGAGTTTGACTTATAAACAGATTCATTATAAATATTTAAATTTTGTAAAAGATCATATTTTTAGCACGCCTCAAAAATATAGATTGAATCAAAAATAAAATTTTGTGTTTAAGTAGATTGAAGTAAAAAAAAAAAAGTGCTTGCATTTAAACCATCATAAAATATAATAAAATGCCAAAATTATTATTTTTAAATAAATAAATGTCAAGATAATATATTTTGGTAATTATTAATCTCACAATTTTATGTGACAAATAACATATCAATAATAATTAAATGCTGTTATCAAATAATAACACATTTATTTTAAATCACCTTGATTGATAATAAATAATTTTTAAATTGAATACTGGAAAGTTGTGATTAAGTATATAAGATAGTTGAAAGAATTTAAATATATGTCACTATAATTGTTAAATCCATTAAATTTTAAAAAATTAAAAAAATATACTTAGATAAACAAAACAACAATATTTTTATAACATTTTATTAATTATTGAAAAAAAAAAACAATCTGTTAATTTGGCTAAGATACGGCTTAAGTTAACAATATTGATTTTAGTAACCCTGAACCCTATGGTTTCATATATTACAAAATAATTATTGTAATTTTTTCTGAACTTTTTTTGGTCCTGGACTGGTGAGAACTTTTTTTCTTTGATGAACCATATGTATGTACATTTGAGGAAACACTAAAAAATATATAATTGTAAATAATAAAATAAATTACTTTTAAATATGCCTAAATGTCAGGTAATTTCTACAATTTACTAAAAATTATCAAAAGTATACAAGGTGTTTCGTATAACACTATCCACTCAATATCTTTTAATGTAATAAGTTTTTTATAATTTTTTTTGGATTTTTTTAGTTGTGTCTCCATATATTTATTATAAAATAATTAATGTGGTATAACAAAGTGGGCTAAAATATGATTTTATAGTACAATGTATAATACAAAATTAATCTAATGAATAAATTTGTATCAATAGTATTATTAAATTCATAAGACTTTAATGGCGTACAAAATAAATAAAGTGATGGTTCAAGATTATTTATTCATATAATTTATTATACTACATTAAATAGATTTGTAAGTTATAATTTTTAACTAAAGTCTCATATTTAAATTATGAAAGTTAATTAGAAAAATACTTATTTAAACTATTAAAAAATAGACAAGTATCGACTAGGTGAGTCAAAATGAAAGAAATCAATCATAATATGTCAACATACTCATATTAATTTCATAGTAAGCCTATGAAAAAAAAATCATTTGATATAAATAGTAATACACAAATTAACTTTTTTTATTAACATAGATCGTTTTTATTCTTATTTATACATCAAAGGTTTAATGTAAAAATGGCAAAAATAAATAATAACAATCATCAAATAACTATGAAACTTAAAAATAAACATCAGATAAGATAGCGATCACCAAGGATGCTGCTAATTTATCATAAAATTATAAATTTATAACCAGCAAAAGACTTAAGTTAATAATACTATGTACTAATGTGTATACTATTATTTAAATTTAAAATATACTAATTAAATTACGAAATTAGTAAAAATATCAGTTGAAAGACATGGCCGACGATAATTTGAATCATTTTGAGATTGAGAGAAAATTGGATTATTTTTATTATAATTGACCTATTACTAAATTAGATATAATAAAATAACTATAGATATTTAAATCATGTGATAATGTTAATTTTTAGTATGTAATACATACACATAATAATGGGAAATTATAACTCATAAAGTAAAATTTAAAACTAATACTATTAAAAAGAGTATTATTTGATATTGAATGTTTTTTTTGTGTGCCATATATTGGGGGAAGATATCAAAGTCCCCTTCAAAACACTATAATGCAAAGCCAATTCATTGTTAAATTTACCTAAAAATTTAGATATTGGGATAATTATTATTTATTTTAATAAAAACCCAATCCAACCAATTGTATGGAAGTCAACACAAATAAATTTTTTTTTTTACTAATAAGATATCTTGAATGCATATTGCTACATATTATAATTGACTGAATTTATATGCATGTATGTTAAATTTATTCAACATGTTAGACACATTATATAGCGCATATAATTCTATGTATAATGACCAATCTAATGACATATTTATGGCACAAATAAGATATCAGCACTAATACAATAATAATGAGTAAGTAAATCACATAATAAAATAGATGGATAATGACAACTTCTACTCGATATAATTTTTTTTCATGATATGACAAAATTCAACAAAGTATATAGTTGTATAAAAAATAAACATTTTGCATTATTAATTTTTTAGGTCATGTTTTTTTATTATAAATTTTAATGATAGTTAACTTACGTGGAATATAAATAAACATAACAAAGGCAATAACAGTCCATAAGCTGAATGCAATATTGTACTTATTGGGCAATTCTAGGCTCCACATTTTTGTTTTTCCTACATAATTTAATGATGTCCAATATATTAAGAGTTCACCAGAAACACCAAGTGGGTATAAAATGATAAATAAAGTATACCTGTAATTATTATTAACAAAACATATCACAGGTTAAAAGATCATTTAGAAATGTATAATGGTAGGAGGAAAAAAAATGTTTTCAATTGATAAACTACTATGAAAAATTTTGCAACCATTTTTTACTGATTAAGAGCAATAAATGGACAAAAACATTTTTAGATCAGCGTGGTAATAAAGGGCAAGTGCCATATTCCCCTCTCTAATTAAGCTATTGGAGTTCATAATGCATTACCTTGCCCAAACTAAGAGATAAGGAATAAATCCTAAAATGTTAAATCCATAATATAAATATCTTGTGATTTCAGCAAAACACCATGCAGTTAAAGCTAAACATAAGCCTGGAGAATCTGTAGTTTCTGGAATATAAACTATTGCAGCTACAATAGCTACTCTTGATAATACTTGTTGAATAGTAACAATTAAATTTGATTTAACATATCCAACAGCAACATTAAAAATCTAAAAAAAATTAATTGGTAAAACAATGAAAAAAATATTTTTTATACATAAAAATTTAATTAAAAGAAATAATTTGCGAAAATATAATTTAGATATTCATTGACAAATTAAAAATGTGTTAATATTAATTATTAATTAAAAACAGATAATCTGATTAACAATCAAAAACTTTAATATTATTATATGTAATTTTTTTATATTTAAAAAGGAAATGAAGTAAAAAAAATTAATTTTTAACTGACAATGAACCAAATTAAAACTTATATGTTTTAAAAATTTAAATAATTTTTTTGTAAAAAAAATGACAATAGCTCATTTTTTACATAGCAATAATTTATTGTATTTCTATATTAAAAATATAAGCTATTCAAAAAGATAATATTTCACACAGCATCATTAAATATTATAATTTGCATATCACTTGAAAGAATTTTTTTATTATTCTTAAAAAAGTTTTTTGATGACATATTTTATTTCCATCTAAAAATATTTCATTTTTGCATAAAATATATTCTTATTTAATATGGGAAATGAAATGTTTATTAATATTATGACAGAAATATTTATTTAATATTTCAGAAACTCTGAGGAATTGAATTTTGTTACTGTTAAAGTTTTTTAATTAGTAGGGATATTGTAATATAAGAAACTTTAAATGTTTATGTATTATAATACTGAGTTTTGAGTTAAGTATATTAGTTAATTAGTTACAATACAAAACATATTTTTAGGCTTTTTTAAGTTTTTAACAACAGTAAAGTAATTGAAAAATATCAAGTTGGTCAAGTAATCGTAATGACCTAATATATTAACATATATAAATTTAAATAATTTCAAAACTAACAGGTACTAAAACTTGTTAACCTTGCACATGACCTATAAACAATACTAGTATTTAAAAATATAGAAGCATTTTTCAAACTAGTTTTGGAGTCTTTAAATTAGTATGTAATAATTAATCATGTTACGCAAAATTATTTACTAAGAAAAAATTTAAATAAATTTACTTTATCTATAATTTTATCTAATTAAGTGTTAGAATAAAATATTTGAGTAATATATAGTACCCAGCACTATTATGTGATAATATTGCTAGTAAATTAGGAAATAATTTATCAGTATATAACTTTAATATAATTTTGTTTTAGTTGATATTGCAATCTATACTTATTTTGATAACTTAAAGAAAAATTTACCTCAATACAAGCAGCATTTTGAAAAATAATCACAGTATATTTAACAACATCCCATAAAGTCTTTTCTTTGGGTGGAAAAATATAAAAATTACAAATTTGATACAATAGATAACTCCATCTGAAAGTTTAAAAGTTTGGCGTTGAATAATTTAATTATCTGTGACTAAGATCTAAATTAAGAACACTTACCCTATTGATTGAATTAAATTGTAAGCAAAAAGATATGCGTTAACAAGATAACTAGATTTTTTGTTCTTTTCATGTTTGGGCGCCATTAAATTAATTAAAATAAAATAACAAAGAACGTAAATAAATTTATAAAAATTTACTTTTTAATAACTAATATTAAATGAGATCATATAATATAAATATACAGTAAGACGACCTGGTAATTGTTTAAGTACCACGTAAGTAGTACACATAATACCTACTCTAACAAAGATTATAAACTGTCATATACTTTAAAAAAAATTTTGATATACGTATAGCAATTAACGTAACCCCACTATTAAAATACTGTAAACCGGTTATTCAATTATACAATCGTTAATTAGTTATCAAAAATAGTATCATAGAAAGATAAATAAATAGTATTTTCAAGGTGGATTTATCAGATGTTAACATTCGGCAAAAGAATTGAATGAAAAAATTACATTAGTTGAGTTCTTCACCAGGTTGCGCTGACTACCTGACAAAGGCTCATGTTTTCACTAGTAACATTATAGACTAGAGCTAGTCTATGTTAAAGAATGATCAAGTAAAAATATTTGAAAATATTTTTTGCTTTTGTAATACAAAATTTTAGTTTAAAAAAATCCATTACTAATCCATTTATTAAGCCTAAAAAGGTAATAATTCTAATATATCTTGGTTGATTAATGAATGGGTTATGAATTATTTCTAATGTACTTTATATAATCTATTAAATTTCTTTCAGTTTGCTAGTAAACCCAACATTTTTTACTTGGTTTAATAATATGAAATACGAAGAGTTCATTTTTTAATTTGACGTAATATATTAATTATTGCAATGTGTACTTTATTGCTATTTGTGTTAGAATCACCTTTCACACCATGGTGAGAAAAACTGTAAAATTTCTTAATAGATATTATTGTACCACCATATTCAGGATAAAAAACATAACTAATTAATGTTACCATTAATTTGGTATGTTTATCATTATCATTATATGGTATATCATTGTATAATTTTAATATGGAGAAAATAGCTTCAAAAGCAACTATTTTAATCATACGTTCTTATAGAAAAATAAAAATAATGGGTTTTAGTGCAGTGGCACGATCTTGCCGTAAAACGTGTAAAACTCAATCACCGTAACGCCGCTGGTCCAATATCATATGTGAATTTAGGGTTGTTACATTTAAAAATTAATTAACGTTTAAAATAATGGTTTAAACATTTCAAAAACACTAAAATTTACATTAGTCTGATTTAGAAAATATGTTTTTTAACAGCATTGTTAGAAACATACGACGATGATTAACTTGTTTATCTATAATCGTGCTAATAGTGAACTTATCAAGTATTATGGAATCAACGTTTTGTAGTTATTAAACATAGTAAATATAGTTTAAATATAAAATATAAAACATATTTTATAATATACATAAAATATAGTTTAAATTAAACAATATAACAAACTATTACTACGATATCCATTTAAAACAAAAATTTCATTTTCATAAACGAATTTCTTAAATAAGTAAATATTATTTTAAGTATTGGTTTAAGAAAAAGCTTATTAAATTTTTTATGTTTATTATACTTAAAGCATTACTTCTGTAAGTAATTAGTTTGTTAAATAACAATCACATGCTTTGAGTCTCATTGTCTGATATTTATCTTTTTAAAAACTAATTTTGTTCTAGAAATGTTTTTTTAAATACTGTGTAGCATTATTTTATGATGAATAAAAATGTTTTGTGGTACAATTTACAGGAAATGCAGTCTCCATACTTTAAAAGTCTTCAATGTATTTGTACTATTTCAGATGAATTTTTTGCTTATGATAAAGAATTTCAGCAATGCTTAAAAGGCTGTAAATGGTATACAAATCTGCATTATGATTGTCATTAATAATGGAATAGTATAAGATAAAAATATGAGTTATTACAGGTCTCCTGATGGTTCAAGTATTTTAACTAATAGTGAAGACAATATTCTCAGAATTTTTAATCTAGAGGTTGATGATTTAAACCAATGTATTGGACTACAAAAAAGTTTGCAATTAAAAGAAGGTGGAACTATTTATGATTATTTATGGTGTCCAAATACTTCAATTTCTCATGGAAACAATAGCCTGTAAATATGATTTATCTAAATGACATATTTATGTTATGAATACCATATTACGCCACTAATTTAATTAAAAATGTTTCAGTCATCAAAAAAAAAATTGTTTGCCTTGAATAATAATAAATTTATAAAGCCTTGAGTCACAGGTTAAAATTTTGTGCAACTTAACTTTTATTTTTTTCTATACAACTCCTGATACACTGTCAAAAATCAGCTGTTATTTCCCAGTGGCCACATTAGATTATTATGTTTATTTATGTGTCAATATCCTTTCAGAATTTTATCTACTAGTAATCGTTCACCAATACATTTGTGGAATGCAAAAAATGGGAAATTAGAAGCTACCTATAGAGTATATGATCAGTATGTAGTGATTTTATTATACATTTCAAACTTGTTTTAATTGCCCAGCCTTGTTATAATTTAGGGGTGATTATATTTTTATCATAGTGTGGACGAAGTGGCTCATGTTAATTCCTTGTGTTTTAATTGGTCAGGAGAGGAAATTTACTGCGGAAGTCTTGGTAAAATTAACATTTTTTATACAGATCAACCGGGTCGAAATTTCACAGAAATTCCTACTAAGAAAGATCTTCATAGAAGTATCATATCAACAATAGCTATGAATCCAGTTGATAGAAGTGTTTTTGCTGTGGGCACATATAGCAAAGATATTGGTAAGCTAACCTTAGTATAAAAATTATTTCAAATTTGTTATAACTTTGAAATATTATTTAATAATAACTATTAAAATCATGCTACTAAATGGTTTTGTATGATATTAACATTCCACATTAAAGTAATAATAGCCTCGCTTATATGACAGCATATTTTTATATAATTGAAAAGCATATGTATCAATTATTCTGCGTATTAACAGTTTATTTCCTAGAATTAGGAAAAATTTTTTAAATTAAAAAAAAAATTATTTTAATTTATATTGGAAGTGCTTATGTATCAAAAGAAATTTAAAGCCATTTTTGTAGAAAAAAAAAACCAATGTGAGGATCTATATTTTGATTTAAACATGAAAATATGAATTCTTAATATTCATCATTAGGAAGATAATTCTATATGAAGGTGTTATTTTGTTTGAAATTTGAGAAGTAGCGCTTGTAAATTTTTTCCTATGGGTCTAAAAGTTATATCTACGAAATTTAAGCTTTATATAACATGATTAATAGGGATTTAAGTTAAAAGTTTAGAAAAAAACATAAAAATTTGTAGTTCTTCAGATAATTTTTTTAACGAATTTATTAGGAACATTTTTGTAGAATTTGTAATTTACTAAAAAGTGTTATTATAAATTTTTTATGCAATCAGTAGTTTATTAAGTCAGATAAAAGTAATATTTTGGGATTATTAATTATATGGGAAAATTTCCCATCTTTATATTTTTGGCAATTATCTTTTTAAATATTAAAAATAAAAAAAAATTGTATGTGACTAAATCTGTTATTTTTTCTAAAAAAGTATCACATAATTTTATGTAAAACTAACCTTTTCCATTAAAATTAAGAAAACTAAACTTTAAGCTTAGAATGCACACTGCTTTATCATGTCATATAAAACTCAAATTTTGTACATATTACTTTTAAACCCATAGAAAATAATTACCAGGTGACATTCCTTAAATTTTAAGAATTCAAAAATAAGGGGCACTATATTTACTGTTCATGGTTTATTGTATTAACCACTCAAAACAAACGAGTTAGAAGAAATTGTTATTTCTCTTTTTAATTATGTATGCTCTGATTTCTTCTTTTCAATATTCTTCAAAAACCACTATTTAGAATGGAGGAAAGAAATATTTTAGTCTGTCGTCAAAATGAGCATTAACATAAAATAGCTTAACTTTAACAAGTCATATAACTCTTGAAGCCGAGCTAAAATTTCTAGTTGTGTAAGTTATATGCAATCCACTGTATTATTCAGAAAATGTGATTACTACATGCAATAGAAACAAGAAAAATAACTATAACTGACAAAGACCACGTAAAATAAAAACACATGAGCCAAAAAAAAAATGGATAATCAAATTAACAATTAGGCTGCTGTCTAAAAAAAAAAATTATTTCTTTGCATCTCCTTAAATGATACATCTGCTTCTGGTTAACCTCTTTAAAATTATATTTTAACTAACTAATAATCTATAGATTATTAGGTATTACAATTTCGATATTATATAATAACAAAATTTTTAAAACAACAATATATTTATTTTTGTTTTATATTCTTTTTTATAACTTGGTTACTTTTAACCTTTATTGTCTCTTGCTTAGTTTTATCAATCATATTTTTAGTATCATCTTCATTTAATAATTTTTTATTGGATGGAGAATCTTTATGAGTGATGGTTTTTTTATATTCATCATATTCTATAAAACAATAATAAAGCCATTCTCTACCCTATTTTGACGACTTTGCAAAAAAACCATTTTAATTTTATATCTTAAACAAATTTAATTTAAATACCCATATAATTAAAAATCACTATACTATCTTCTTCTTCTTTCTTCTTTTTCCTCGCCTCAATCCCAACTACTTGGGGTCGGCTACCCTTATCCTAAACTTCCACTTGACAGGACCACGCACATCATCTACACTCACATCAGCTGTCCTCATATCACATTCAATTACATCCCTCCATCTCTTTTTTGGTCTTCCTCTACCTCTACTTCCTTCAACATTTATTTCTATAACTATTCTTACCTCTTCCGATTCCTTTCTCCTCATAACATGACCAAACCATCTAAGTCTATTTTCCCTCATCTTATCCACGATTGACGATACACCTATATTCCTCTTATATGATCGTTCTTTATTCTATCTTTTCTAGTCACTTCACTCATCCATCTAAGCATTCTCATCTCTACTCTACTCATTCTCTGCTCTACTTTTTTGTCAACCGTCCAACACTCTGAACCATACATCATAGCTGGTCTCACTAGTCTTGTAGAATATACCTTTCAGCCTCATTGGAATTCTTTTATCACATAAGACACGAGACACTTCTCTACACTTCAACCACCCGCATTTAATCCTGTGTCTTAAATCCTCGTCAATACCACCGCTCTTTTGCACAACTGATCCTAAATTACTTAAAACTTCTAAAACTACAATAAATATCTATACTATCATTTATATATTATATTGCATTAATTTATTGTTGACACATTCATTATAAAATTCTTAGTCTCTTATGATGATGTTTTAGGCATTATAGATTTGTGATTTATTTATTAATTTTAGGAATATATGGAGGTAATCAATTAATGTATATACTGAGAGGTCATAAATCTGGCGTAACCCATGTAAAGTTTTCTCCTGATGGCCTCAGATTATATTCTGGTGGTAGAAAAGGCGATGATGATATTGTTTGTTGGGATTTAAGAAATGTTGGTCAAACATTATTCTCAGTCAAGAGAACAGTTACTACAAATCAAAGAATTTATTTTGATATCTCATCTGATGGAAAATTTTTAGTATCAGGTTTATAATTTTTACTTATTTAATTTAAAAATAATGAGTTTTTAATAGATACCAGAATTGTATGCAGGTAAAATCTTAAAAATATGTTTTTATGTAGAAAAAATTAATTCATATTTTCTTTTAAAATATTTATATGATAGTTAAAAAAACCCAACACTGTGGGAACGTGGTATAGTTGGAACAAGTATAGATGATATCTGACATAATATTAAAATCACTATCATAAAAACGCTTCAATAAAAATTTGTTGTGTAAAATTTTTAGAAGGAATTATTGAATTATTCAAAAAACATCAACTCCTAGTGCCTTAATTATATCCTGATTACAAGTTTTATGATTTATAAGATAATAAAATAAATACCTGTTATAGTAATTAAATTTAGTATGAAATTGATATTTTATAATTTAGTATTGCAATTTTTACAGAGAAATTATAAAAAATTATAAATTGTTGTATACAGTCTAATTCTTTTAATATTAGCCACTCAATTTCTCTTAAATTAATATATTTAATTAATTAATTTTTATATATTTTAATTTTATATTTATATATTCTTTATAACTAACTTATAAAATAAAAAATTGTTCAATTAAGAAAATGACTAGTCGACAATTTCTGAAATAGAACTTTGTATATTCACATTTTTAAATATAGAGTGGAGGAAGAGTGTGACAGAGTTAAGTAGAAAAAGTTAACTTTTGTTGTAGGTGTTGCTATTTTGAATCCTCCATTTAGGTAGGTAGTCAGATTTTCAAAAAAGTTTCATTAAATAAAAAGAAATACCTAAGATATTTATATAAAAAGAATTATTTTGATTTGTTCATTTTTTAAAGTCATGACAGTTTTAAGTATCAGACTAACAATACAATAGATGGTGATTTTTTTTATACAAAAATTACTTTTATTTTTTAATCTTGGTGAACTTTGCACATAGAAGATAAGGTGTCGGGAAACTTTTTTTTTTAACATAAACTTATAATACAATTAAAAATACTTGAATCAATACTTATTAGCCTAATTCTATGAAAACTAAATATGATTATGTTGTAATACTTAATGAATGATCATCTTTATCAATAAAGTCAATGTTAAAGAAAAAATAAATTCAATTTATATTTTAACGACAATGAATATTTGACATCTAATATTTATTGATATCTATATGACATCAATCTAACATGAAATGTTTAAAGCTATTATTTACTTTCATAAATTACATTATTCTATAGTAAAATCATGTTACTGATAAAAAAATTTCTATGATTATATACATGAGGTAAATGAAGAAAATATTGTTTTTTTGGTAAGAAATTAAAAATAAATTGTCAACGTTTATATTTGTAATCTGTTATTTATATGGTGTACTAGAAAAAATATTCATGTAAAAGCAAAATATCAATATTTGTCAGCTTAATTTCCAATGTAAACATATTTTAAATACAAAATTATCTCAATAATACTAATAAAAATGTACCTAGTGGTATATTTAATTGATAATGTAGTAAAAAAATTAGTTAACTAATTTAAATTATGTAGATTTAAAGATATTATCATCACCATACCTCTATTCTAACTATTTAGCCTCTGTCTTAAATAATTTACTGAATTTGACTCTAGCTATTGCTTAGTACAATGTCATATTGGTTGAAGGAATCAGTACGGTGGCAAGGTGTATGTTATTATTAAGTATATTTAAAGATAGAAAACAATATTTTGAAACTATATATTAATATTTTACTTATAACTTTTAAAAATTGTTAGAAAAAATGTTCAGTTCTAAACTAATTTAGTATTATCATTAATTAATATTATTATAGTATCAATAATTATAAATTAAAAAGTTTAACATTTTAAAGTTAATAATAATATTATTTAATACTTAAAAAAAAATTTGTATTTTGATTTAATAACTTATTATTTTAGGAAATAGTTCTGGTGACATAAAAACATGGAAATTAGATCAAATAATAAATACTCAAGAAGACGTTGAATGTGTTCTCCCACTAAATTCTAGCATTCAAACTCATTATGACTGTGTTAATGGTGTAAGGTATGTTAGATAGCTTTTATAATGTATTTAATTAAATTTGGATTAATTTAATAATTTTTTTTAGCTTACATCCATATCAGCCTTTAGTGGCAACTGCATCAGGGCAAAGACATAATAATTTTATTTGTGATGATGATGAAAATGGAGAAAAATCAATTAATTTTGACAGTTCATTGAAAATTTGGAAAATTAATTAGTCTTTTCTTTGTTTATAATAAAATCGAAACACTAAATCTACAACATTCAATTAAACATGTATTCTATTTATTTCAATCTGTTAAAAAAATCAGTCTTTTTTTTTTTATATTTTATGAAAAAGAAATAAATATTCTAATTTATACGATTGAAAAATTATTTCATATTTTTTTATTCATTAGTCAAAAGTGTATAACTAATTTTTTCTTAAAAAAATCAATTTTTATCATACTTTTTCTGCAGCTATTTTAAAGGTAATGGGAAACAACTATAATCAAAATTTCCTCAGAATATAACAATCCAATTGTAGTTGACTAAATGGTGTCAACTAACCTAATGATAGAAGAAAAAAATTGTATTTTAATAACACCGGGATTTGTTTTTAAAATTTTGTTTTTTTACCCATGAAAATAGTAAGAATAAAAAATGTTAAAAAAAAAAAGGAATGTTTATTTTAAAATACATAATAAATATAAAATGTATAGTTTCTTAATTTTTTTTATTTAAATAATAATTAGTTCCTCTTATTAGGATAATTTTTTTATCTAAAAAGCTATCAAAAAAAATATAAAATGTAAAAAAATAGATTAAAAAGTAAGATAATTATACTAATATAATAACTTGAAGTACATGAATTTGTTTCAGGTATTACAGATTGTGTGAGCCAATCTTGAAGAGACTTATGTGTTCTTTCATAATAATCTGAATTAATTTCTATTTCTTTATATAATTTATTAAATGTTTTTTGTAAACTTAGTGGTAGAGTTGTTTGGTTTCTTATCAAGTTTAACTAAAAATAAAAATTTTATAAATGTAATTACATATTTGTTATAAATAAGGGTTTTATTTAATTATTATTACAAATTTTATTATTAGAAGTTCGATAAAATTTATCATCATTTAGTTAAACATATTTATAAATATTTTTGTGGCAATAAGTTATTTTAAATTACAAATAAATTAGTACAAATCTAAAAAAAAATTGTTGGTTGACCTCTTTTCGCTTGTAAAGTTTGAACTAGTCAGCGAAGTAAAGACATATTTCAATTTAAAAAGTTTTGTGATAGATTATGTAATTTACTGTTAATTTTTACCATACATTAGGTTTTTAAAATTGTTTCTAATTAGAAAACTCAACATAGGTGTTTGACAAATTATCTCATAAGATCAAGTTGTTGATTCAAAAGATCTTTGAGAAATTATTATAATACAATGTTATCATATAAATATTTTGTTGTCAATATTATATCGATCCTTTGCACTAACTTGCAATTAGAGGCAGTGTATATCTGTCTGTCGGCTGTGGCATCGAACAAATAGGGGTTTTTTTTTTATATTAATGAAGTTGTATTGCAACTTTGATGTCTATTTTCACCATGAAGATAAAATAAAGTACGAATTTCTTTTTTTCCATAATAAAGTACATTACATTAGCTTTAATTTGAGATATATATAAAAGTGTCAGACTTTCCGGAACATTTTCAAAAGTCAAGTTGAAAAAATTAATTTTTTATGAAAAAGTTGTCATTTTAAATCCCCCTCTGTGGGCAGGTAAAGGGTCAGATATAAAAAAAAAATATACCAAATGAAAGGTAATGATATCACGCATCTATATAAAAAAAAATTATATTGATTTGGTTATTTTTAAAAAAGTTATAGCAATTTTAAGTAAAAAAAATTGAAAAAATTAGCGATTTTTAAATTTGTAATTTTTTTGGAGGTTTCCCCCAATTACAGGAAACGAGGGAATTCTTTTCAATTTTTGAGGGTAATGTCTTTGATTAGATACGATTTGTGATTTTTTGACGTATCATTGAAAGAAATCGGTTCGGTGAGAGCTGAGAAAAAGTGGTAACAGACACAGAAAAAAAAAAATAAAACATCTTAGTAAAACCAATACCTTCTCAGCTTTGCATCGAAGATAAAAAGTTGATAAGCAAAAAATGGTTATCAAGTCAATACTAATCAAAACATTATGTCAATTTTAGAAAATAGCTATATTATCACTGTCAGAGCGGGGCTATCAGAACGCCAAGAGGGCTCTAACAATAGGCAAATAGGGATGCTAAACTAAATTTTCTCTCTCCAAAATACAATTTCCTTAAAACAATATGGATATTGTTGTTAAATTTCTGGGGGACCTAAACCTCTCTGGTCCCACCACCTGACGTATATAGTTCCAGCCCTTTCATTTGGTAACACTTGTTACTTTATTAGATAACTGAGTTTTCTACCCAATAAGTCCTAAGATAAATTCGATTAAAAACTTGGTGTAATTTGATATTGGTAGATCAGTTTTTGACTTTGTGATGCTGTATTTACTATTTTTTTAAAAAAATTTTTATTTTTGTCTATAAAGTATTAAAATGAAACTAGCGGAAAGGTAAAGCATTCTATGCAGTTACTTATAATGATTTGTATGAAGATCCCCTAAAGATACCTACCTATTCTTTTATTCAACAAATAGAAAAATTAAATTGTACAAATATTTATGATTTTTAATTAAAAAAAAATATTTTTTTAAAATTTAAATCAATCTGAAGTTTTGTTTAAAATTATAAATAAAGTTGCTTGAAGTGCTTGAGGATATATCCATGTTTACAGTTGAGTTCTGACGTTTCGGACTCAACTGTAAACATGGATATATCCTCAAGCACTTCAAGCAACTTTATTTATAATTTTAAACAAAACTTCAGATTGATTTAAATTTTAAAAAAATATTTTTTTTTAATTAAAAATCATAAATATTTGTNAAATAAAGTTTCTATACCTCATAAATTTCGGAAGCCGTTGCTGCATTTTTTACCAACGCTGCATACATAGATTCAATTGTTTTGTAAGCACTCTGTGTTTTATTCAAATATTCATTTATATTTTCCTTTAAAAATATCGTCATCATTTCAATACCTATTGGTGTTAATGCCAATGAATTAAATATTAATTTGAAGTATGTTTGGTGGATTGAACTGTTATCTTCTTGAAGTAATAGTCTTAAATAGCTTTACAATATACGTAATAAATGTTAAATATTGTTAAGATTTTTTTATTAATTAAAATAATTAAATAATACAAATTAAACTTATATACAAGGTGTTCAGTAAGTCAGGAAACGGGTTTCTATTGTTCTCATTGTTACAAACAATGAGAAAAAATAATAAAAAGCAAAACAATAAAATAAATAAAAAAAAACGGTAGCACAGTGGGGTCGCGGCATAGTGGACACATTGCATAGTAGGGTCCAGTGTAGATTTAATCTGACAGTGATTAAAATCACTATCATAATAAACGCTTCGATGCAAATCTGTAGATAGTGTTTAATTTTAAAAAATTGATGGATAATTGCAAAAGCAACATCAACTTCTATTAAAATAAAATACAAAACCCATAATTATCATACAAAAATAGTATATTTTTCAATATGGTAGCCATTTGCGTATAGAAGATAGATCGTCGGGACAAATTTTTTTTTTTCATTTTGTAGTACATAAAATAAGCTTTAATTTTATATATGTTTAAAGGACGCAGTATTTCCGGAACATTTTCAAAAATTAAGTTGAAAAAGTTATTTTTTGTAAAAAAGTTACTATTTTAAATCCTCCCAGTGAGCAGAATAAGTGTTAGATTTTCAAAAAAAATTATATCAAATGAAAGGGAAATATCTAAGGTTTCAATACAAAAAAATATTATTTTTATTTGTTCATTTTTGAAAAAGTTATGGCAGTTTTAAGTACAAAAAACATCCCGATAAAATGTAATTTTTATCGCAAACATTACATTTTTTTTTAAATTTTCGACAGCCATTTGCACATAGAAGATAAGATGTCGGGACAAATTTTTTTTTTTCATTTGATAGTATATAACATAACCTTTGATTTGATATATGTTTAAAGGACGCAGTATTTCCGGAACATTTTCAAAAGTTCAGTTGAAAAAGATCTATGTTTTTTACAATATTTTAAGTTTTGAACGCCCCCTATATAAGGGGAAATTGTCCAATTTTAATAAAAAGTATGTCAAATGAAAGATGTACTTATAATGTATTTAGAAAAAAAAAATTTGTGCTGATATATACATTTTTCAAAAAGTTATAGCATTTTTAAGTTGAAAATTTAAAATCGAAAATCGAAAATTTTAACACAAAAATAGTGTTTTTTTAACTACGGCAGCCGTTTAAATGTAGAAAAAAAAGTGTCGGGACAAATTTTTTTTTTTCATTTTGTAGTACATAAAATAAGCTTTAATTTGATATATGTTTAAAGGACGCAGTCTTTCCGGAACATTTTCAAAAATTAAGTTGAAAAAATTAATTTTTGTAAAAAAGTTGCCATTTTAAATCCCCCCCAATGAGCAGGTTAAGTGATAGATTTTCAAAAAAATGATATCAAATGAAAGGTAAATATCTAAGGTTTTAGTATAAAAAAAAATTATGTTGATTTGTTGATTTTTCAAAAAGTTATGGAAGTTTTAAGAAAAAAAAGTGAAAAAATTTCGAAAATTAGCGATTTTTAAATTTGTAATTTTTTTGGATATTTCCCCCATTTGCGGGGAACGAGGGAATTTTTTTCAATTTTTAAGGGTAATGTCTTCAACTAGATACGATTTGTGATCTTTTGACGTATTTTTGAAAGAAATCGGTCCAGTGAGAGCTGAGAAAAAGTGGCAACAGACATAAAAAAAAAATAATAAAATAATAAATGTAGTAGTTTTTCAGTTTTTTCGATTTATCTCAAAAATTATTATACCATAAAAATGTATAGAATTAGATTTGTGGATCATTATATTTTCTATAAAAAAAGTTATTATAAAATTTCACTAAATTATTTTGATTTGTTGATTTTTCAAAAAGTTATAGAAGTTTTAAGAAAAAAAAATGAAAAAATTTCGAAAATTAGCGATTTTTAAATTTGTAATTTTTTTGGATATTTCCCCCATTTGCGGGGAACGAGGGAATTTTTTTCAATTTTTAAGGGTAATGTCTTCAACTAGATACGATTTGTGATCTTTTGACGTATTTTTGAAAGAAATCGGTCCAGTGAGAGCTGAGAAAAAGTGGCAACAGACATAAAAAAAAAAAACACATCATAGTAAAATTAATACCTTCTCCGCTTCGCATCGAAGCTAAAACATTGTTATTTTACATTCATATTAATAATTAAAGTGATTTAGTCTAAACCCATGATTATTTATTTTAGCTTCGATGCGAAGCGGAGAAGGTATTAATTTTACTATGATGTGTTTTTTTTTTTTTTTTTTTTTTTTTTTTTTTTTT